ACCCTTGGAATTTCCTGAGTGATGGGGGCAACTTTTGTGATTTTGAGGCATCTTCTATTACAGCTGAGTTTATGCTTAAGGTGGGGTCCCTAGGTAGCCTCAGGATAGGCTGGTCACTAGCAATACCTCGTGACTAGAGGGGTGGAAATTTTAGCTACACTACTGACCTCCAAGAAGAGAACAGGGTTCTAAAAACCCTTGAACAGTAAGATTCAGAGAGCTTCTGGGCTGATAAAAACAAGAGGCTGGGAAGGTATGCTCAGAGGGAGCATGGAAGCTTCACATCCTCCCACCCTGACCCACCTTGCCTTTGCGTCATTCTGGCAAAGTACAGAACCTGAGGAGGGGTTTGTACGAATCTCAGGGTTTTTAGCCCAATGGTAACAATTACAGGCGGCCCCTGAGATGTAGGACTGGGGTCTGAAGTGGCATTAGGACTGGGGTCTTAAGCCTTTAACTTGGGTTGTGCCAACTCTGGGTAGAGTTGGAATTGAATAGAATTGTTGGACATCCAATTTGATGTTGGAAAATTGGTGTTGGTGTGGAAAAATCCTCTCCTATATTTGGCATAAGAAAATATCACACACACAGAAAGAAAGAAAGAAAGAAACAAAGAAAGAAACAAAGAAAGAAACAAAGAAAGAAACAAAGAAAGAGAAAGGAAGGAAGGAAAGAAGAAGGGAGGGAGAGAGGAAGGAAGAGGAGAGAGAAAGAAGGAAAGAAAGAAAGGAAAAGAAAGAAAAAAGAAAGGCAGGAAGGAAGGAAGAGAGAGGAAGGGAGAAAGAAAGAGACACCATCACTCACTAGGGAATATTCTAGAAATTTTCTTATATATCAGTTGCTAGATAATTCCTACTTAAGAACTATCAGGAATTCTCTATCAGTGTGGGATGATACATCTTAAAAGTCTAGTAGAGGGCACTAGTCAACTATACACCTTCTGAAAAATTCTGTTGTGACTTCACTGAAAAGTCAAAAATAGGAAGGTATTGTAAATGTGACCTGTCACCAAATGCATTACTTTCTATGGTTAGATCCTGAAAGCTCCAAAGGTAGCTGACTGGTAGATGATTTAAGAACTGACTTCCCTACCCTGGCAGGCAAAGGTGAAAGAAGGAAGAGGGAGAAGAAACAGGATCGTCCTCTCCCATTTCCCAGGAGCCAGGCCAGAACTGTGCGTCATTTCCAACAGCAAGCATTTGTCTTTTGCATCTTCCTTTTCTGTACCCCTTTGCACCTACCTGTGCCTCTCTTCCTTGGCCTCTCTCTCTGCCCAGCGCCCTAACTAGAGGACTCCATCCTCTCAGCCCATCTGGAATCACCTACTATCCCTCCCCTCTTGTTTGTGACCCAAATAAAAAGCCCTTCCTTCAATGACTTTGCTGAGTCTCAAACAGCACTGTATTTAATAAACAACTGGGTGATTTAAAAAATGCCTAGAGCTTATTCTCAAATACAGTACTTTGATTCTGTTGTCTGAGTAAGTCTTTATTTTGATTCTTTTGTCTAGGGTAGCTCTCTAGGTGACTAATATGCCTTAGGACTGAGGACCACTTGTAAAGCTGATGTTGACTAGATGCTAAATGCCTGCGACTGAATTTATTCCCTTCAAGGGTGTGGACAACTGATGAATACTTATTAACATATGTTGGTAGAATATAGAGTAGCAGCTTAATGGGATATGAAAAAGTTTAAGCCTCAAGTTTTAGATGTGGGGGATGGGCCAATCTTCTGGAGTCTGCAATAAATATACCCAAACTGACTTTTGGAAGTTTCTTCCTTTGTCCCATGTTTGAATTCCCAGCCTTTAGGAAGTCCATCTCCTCTGCCCAGCCTTTCCCACACCCTCCACCTCCATGACTCCCACTGGACTCAGCTGGGGATGTAAACAAGAGTAGGGCAGTCCGTAAAGGGGTAGGACTGACATGATTTCCCTCAGGACCATTCAAAAATAAGGTCTATAAGCTTCACTCTCTTCTTCAAGAGAGTACACTGTGAGTCAGGACTGCAGAATCTATGGGTGTTATAGTTGGCAGTCAGTTCCCTTATTCCCCTCTGTCTTCTCTCACAGTGCAATCTTGAGAGTGGACTGGGAATGTGCTACTGAAGTCTCTTTGGGGATGAACACGGGGCTGACTTGCCAGGCCCTTCTGCCCTGCCTCTGGTAGCTTTCTTCATCAGGCAGATGAATTCTGGTTCTATTTTCAGTACTAATGCAGAAATCATATGACTTAAGCAAGAAACTCAGTGCAATCCTTGAGTAGTGCCTGCTGTATCTAGAGGTTTCAGGAAAGTGCAGGAGGCAGTGGCACTGGACGTGACACACTGGACTGTGTCAGATACAGATTCAAAGCCTGCCCGTGGAAGTGTGGAGGTCTCTCCGGGGAGAATTCACCCTCAAGAGGAGAATTCCGTCCTCTATTTTTTCATTCAATGTGCTACACCTAACAGTTCCAAGAGTCATCTTCACTGGGTGCTTTATCAGATTTCTTTTCATTGGCTTTCCATTTTATGAAAAGGTTCCTGAAGGACAGAAAGATCAATCAATTCTCCCTATAAAGCTCATGTTGGGAAACAGCACATCTTGAAATTACTTACAGACTCATCCATTTTTGGAGAAACACACACAGAGACTGGCTTATAGCATTTCAGGGGTACTGTCCTGATAGCCCCAAATGAAAACTCCGGAGAAAAATCTATTAATGCAACTCCCTAAGTTAAAACCAATATGTGTTGCTCAAAGAAGAGAAGATGGAAGGAGGTGTAATTTACACAGGACAAGATCACACCCTTTCAGCAGCAACTTTCAGGTCCTGTGTCTCTGAAAACTCACCTATCTTCATGTTAAAATCTTGCGGCCACTGAGGTGGGAACTGATCTGAAGATCAGCGAAGGTCAGACTTGTTCTTTTGCCCATTCACTGGGAAGAAGGGGCTTCAGAATCACATTACTGAGTGCAGGGACTGAGGTGAGTAAGGCTAGGGAAGGGGTCTTTGCAGTTAAAACGTCAAGGAATGAGGAACTCCTTTTTAATATGCTGGTCTATATCAATGAAAGAAACGTTCTTTTTGTTTCAGCAGTATTGAGCATTGAACCCAGTGCCTCATGCATGCCATGCAAGTGCTCTACCATTGAGATAAAACCCCAACTCTCTCTCTATTTTATTCTGAGACAAGGTCTCACTAATTTGCCTAGGCTGGCCTAGAACTTGTGATCCCCCTGCCTCAGAGTGACTGGGATTGTAACAGGCATGTGCCACTGTGCTCAGCTGGATCAGCTCAATTCTCTTAGAGAGACTAAGGAAATCTATGAGGAGGGGTGTGTGTGTGTGTGTGTGTGTGTGTGTGTGTGTGTGTGTGTGTTTATGTGTATAATATGCACATATACAAGATAATCACCCCAGTCATATAGAGACCAATAGCCCCATCGCTGAATGAATGGTGATACCTCTTTGTAGTGGAATAAAAAATGTCCAAAGTAGGTTCACCATCAGCAAGTGCTCCAGAGGCTTCCCTTCATGAAAAAATTGGGGTCACTCTCAGTGCAAGTCTTTGAGGCTCTAAGTAGGATCTGGCTCCTGGGGGAGCCACACAGATTGCATACTTGGCAATGAAGTCGTGAGAAGGCTGTGGCTGAGAGTGCCTGGGGATGGTGATAACCAACAAACAGCAGGTTGGAAGGGGTGGTGATAACTCCAAGAAATGAGACTCAATATCCATGAAAACAATAACAATAACAAAAAGAAAGGACAAGGCTTTTCCAGCAGGAAGCCCAAGGGAGCAGGGGGACCATCACCTCTCCCTCCCTGGTGGTTACTCTTCTATCCAGGGTTAGCACTGCTGTCACGGACCTCAGCTTCTCAGGCACTTCCCCACACACTGCCTGGCCTTGCTCAGAAAAACCAACATGTGGTTACTCCTGGCTACTCATCAGTGGGTGGCCAGGAGCAGCTGTGGGCCACACATAGGTGTGGCTGGCATGGAACACTGTTACTACTGCCTTCCACAGGGGCCTGCTTTCCTTAGAGTGGGGAAGTGGCCATTGCTGACCTATTTCAATGACAAAAGAAGTCACAAAATTCACAGGGAACAGAAAAATTTTTAAAGAGAACAGAAGAGCAAGGGAAACCTGAGTTTGAAATTCAGTACTCTGTCCTGCACAGCCAGGGGCCGGTGGTCCCTGGGGAAGGTTGGCCTCTGCCCAAATGTACGGGTGGCCACCTGCCAAAAATAGCCAGGATAGTTCACATCCTTTCATTCATGGATGAGACCACACCTGCACAAGTAGGATGTTCCCAGGGCCACACTAGAGGGCAAGAAACTCACTGGCAAAGAGAAGAATGGCAGACCAATGGGAAGAGGCCATTTTTATTTTACTTTTGCTGATTGATTCCTAAAGAAACAGAGTAACAAAGTGGGACTGAGAACATGGCCACTACCCAGCCTGGTCCTTGATCTAGGAAAAGCTTGTCTTCCTAGCACATCCCCAGCTCAGGAGCATCCTCTTATGGGTAAGGTCTCTTCTGGCTCTGACTGAACTAGACCATGCCATGGGCTGAAGGTTAAGGCATTTCAATATGAACCCTCATATTTCTGGTTCATAGAGTATTTCATGGCAGGGAATACACAGTGGAAAGAAGCCACACATCTGCATCTTACAGACAGCACCACATGTTATCAGAGGTGCCTGGATGAGGGGGCACTTGTCACAGCCAGCAATACAGATTGATGTACGTGCTGCCATCTGTGAATACCAGAGCCACAGCTTCATTAGTTCTACTGCTAGTTGTTGTTGTGATGGTGTTTTTAGGACAACAGACACATAAAAATTATGGCTCCCTACAAGGCTCCAGCAGCCCACCGCTGTGCAGGGTGAGACACTTCACACATCTAGGCAGGTTTTCTCTGGCTTATTACAGAAGACATAATTGCTTTTGTTACACATCCACGGAATCAGGAAAATACATTTTTTATGGTCCTCATTTTCAATGCCCTACTTACCAACTTCATCCCTGATGTTTGCAAGTTCGATTGACAGCTCTTTTTCTTTCACAAGGGCACTTTCATTCTGAAAAAACAAAACGGATACCAAGAGTCCCCTAGTTTTATGCTAGATAAGTACTTTCACATGTTTAATTAAGGAATCATATTAAGCAAATATTTATAAGCCCAGCCCTTAAGGAGATAATTTTTCTCATTATATAAGCATATGAAAACTTAGAAGCCAAGTCTGACTCATTAATTTGTATTCATTCAAATATCAAACTTTGTAATATAATATTTAAATACCCATAACTGTGCTTTTTTTCTATGAGCATACTATACCCTTGTAGATCATCCTGCAATAATTCTTTGCACATACGTGTCCTACACATCAATGTACTGTCTTATATTACGATACATTTCCTTTCCACTTTTTGAACATGTTACTTTTCTCTGAAGGACAAAGCCTTGTTTTACCACTTTCCCCTTAAACTTACTCTTCTGGCCATACCTGGTTAGCTACTTAATGAATGACAAAGATCAGAGCTGAACCCTTGACATGAAACATTTATCTTTGTAACAAGACCAACCACAGCAGTTAAGGCTTCCAAGTTTTTTTCTTCTACTATTGCCATCCATAGAAGGCACAAGAGGAAACTGTATATTTGAAGAATTACCTAGTGCAAAGAATCTCACTTAATGATGTCTAAGTTGTTTTCAAATCAAATATATTGTGACATTAAAAAAAAGAAATAGTGGAAGATATGCTGAATTTGTAACCTGAGTTACAAAAGCTCAATAAAGAGTTTATTAAGATACCATAAAGAGTTTATTAAGATTTTATTGCTAAATAATACTACTAATAATGATGAAATACTAATAACAAAAGTCACAGATATCAGACTTTCAAAGAAAGTCTGTGTCATTCAATAAAATGTACTCCCAAAGCAAAGCAAACCAATTTTGAGAGACAGAATTTTTTTGCTCAAATGTAGATGATAACCCTAGCACAGATATCATCAGAGACTTGTGAATGTTTATTAGAGTTGGCACATTTAATGTCCCCAAAACGTCTATGTGTTAAAGGCTTGATTCCCAAGGTGGTGCTCTTCGGAGGTGCTGTGGATCCTTCAAAAGGAGGGACCTACTGGGAAGTGCTTAGGTTATTGGAGGCATGTTTTACAAGGAGACTGTGGAACTCCAGCCTCTCCCTCTTTCACTTCTGCTTCCTTGCCATGAAGTAAGAAGTTTGCTCTGCCGGTTACTCCCCACCCTTGTCATCTGGCACACCCACCATCGTTCCAAAGTGGTGGGTCCACCTGGTCTTGGACTAGAACTTCCAAAACTGTGAGCCAAAATAAACCTTTTCTTTTTAGAAGTTAATTGTCTCAGGTATTTCATTACAGTTATGGAAAACAGACTAATACAATGTTCTTTATTGACCACCTTTGGCTTTAGTTTCAGCACCTTAGATGCACGAATGACTACAGGCAGCTCTCACATTCTTGTTTCTGGGACTGGCTCAACCAGACACAGGCAACAAGGGTGCTATTTTGGGTGCCAGGGAGAGTCTCAGGTTATCCAAAAGGCCTGTGTTCAGTGATGTCGTAATATTCACAATTCCAAAAGTAAAACTCAATTTTCATAATAAACTGAGAGCTACAGTAGATACAGTTGCCAACAATTATTAGCTAATGATTCTCTGAAAAAAAAAAAAAAAGGAGCAACAGAGCCATCCTTTGAGAGACAACGGGCCTTAAAATGGTCTGAATGTTTGTATCCCCCCAAATTCATATGTTGTAATCTTAATACTCGTAAAAGTGCAGCTATGAGGAAGCGGGCCTTTGGGGTGATCAGGTCATGAAGGTGGAGCCTTCATGAATGGGATGAGTGGCCTTATAAAAGAAGCTCCAGAGAATAGCCTAGCCCCTTCAGTATGAAAGGACACCAGCAAGAAGGCGCTGGCACTGAGAGAGCAGGCACACACCAGATACCAAATCTGCTGAAGCCTCATTTGTGACGCTCTTCCCTATGGGTTCAGCGTTAGCAATTACAACTGACAGTATGTTTCTTTATCATTAAATGATGCTGCCTCAATGCCAAGCCCACTGCACAGGGCTATCATGAAGGTTCAGTGAATTAATATATGTGACCTAGTCAAAAAGTGTCCAGTATTCAGCTAGCTCATACAAATGCTAGGTGTTATTATAGTTTCATGGTTTTTTAAAATTTTATTTGCAACTGGATAACATCTTATAATAGCTGCTTTTCTGTGTTAATTATCTAACTGTTTAGAATATGCATATCAATTTTATGCTCTGGTTTCTTGAGCACCTTCCTGGGTCTGCTCTGACTCTTAAGATTTTTTTGTGTGTGTGTGGTGCTGAATACTGAACCTAGAGTCTCAAGCATGCTGGGCAAGTGCTTTACCATTGAGCCACACACACCCCAAGAGAGATCAGGAAGACTGAGAGGACTGTGGGTGCAGCTCAGTGGTAGAGTACTTGCTTAATATACACAAGGCCTAGGGTCCCAGCCCTAGCATTGCAAAGAAAAAAGAGATAGGTGTGGGGGAGGTAACACAAGTAGGTTCTGTTTAAAGATTATTTACTAATTAATAAAGATTTGCAATGCTAACTTCTACCAAACACTTTTTGTAGGCCATACACAGAGTTAGACAAGTCCTCAATTTATTTTTCCAAGTATAGTGGTTTCTCAGTACTGACAGGGACTGCTTTCAGGATCCCTGCTCCCACCCCAGGGTACCAAAATCTGGGATGCTGAAGTCTTACACAAAATGATGTAGTAGTTGCATAGAACCTGTGCACATTCTCCTGCAGACTTTAAATCATTTCTAGATTATTTATAATACCTAATGCAATGTAAATACTATTAAAATAGTTGTTCATACTGTATTATTGAGGAAATGACCATATAAAGTCTGTACATGATCAGTATTCATACATTTTTTTCCCCCAAGTAATATCAATCTGCCATTGGCTGAATCTGCAGATAGGAGAGCTGACTATACCATTCATTGGTTCCTGAGTTTTATTTCCCTTTAATGGGGGAGAAAACTGGAGCTTTATGGTGAAGTAAGCAGCCCCTGCACAACCTTCCTGGCAATGGCAAAGATGGCAGTTATAACCCAGCACCTACATTTTTCATCAAATGCTAACACACCAAGAATCTCTCCTCTTCAGTTTAGATAGATGTAAACTCAAGATCCAAATTGTACTGGTCCTCAGGCTGGATTGAGCACTTCTTAACATGCAGCTTTTCACATTCGGCTGGAAGAGAGGCAGAGTCAGCCCTGGACTGACTGATCTGGCTCCCTGGAAAGTTCCCTGGCTGTGCTCACTCTGCCTCACAGCCTGTGCCCCCTGCATTTACCGTAGGCCTTGATTTGCAGGTTGAATGTGGTATACTTCCACTGGTTGGACCCTTTTCAGTACAGTCTCCACAGGTTGAAATTTTCGATAGTGTTATCTGTTTACTTTTCCCTAAGGCCTGAGAAGGGCCATTCCGATGATCCCCAGAACACTTTCCTGCTGAAGTTGCCTTCACAGGTCTACCCTAGCTCCTCAAGGACAGCCAGCCTATGCAGTTTGGTGACAACCCTTCTTCCTTAAGTGCTTCTTTTGAAATGATATCAACCTTTCTAATTTATAAATTCTCTGCATCAAGTAAAGTTCCTTTTTGTTTCCTGCCAGCCAAACCAGAATGATGTAGTGCTACCCTGTAATGAAATGAGTCAAAAGCAATGACAGCAGAACCAGTGCTCCTAAGGCAGGAGGTGAACTTCAAGGAAACTTCCACTTGCTACTCCTTGCCAAAATGCTATTCCCCATCTGTTGTGGCGCAACAGAATCCAGTGTTGGTCTTGATCTTGTGATGTCCCTGGATTCTGGGGAGCACCCAAGATTCTTTCTAAAAGGATCTCAAACCCCAAAAACTCCACCAAAAGAATTCTAGATTTGATAACCAAATTCAATAGCATAGCCGGATACAAAGTCAACACTCGAAATCAATAGCCTTCCTGTACACAAATAACAAACTCACTGACAAAGAAATTAGGGAAACCTTTCACAGTAGCATCCAAAAAAATGAAATACCTAGGAATCAATCTAACAAAGGAAGTAAAAGAACTTTACATTGAAAACTACAGTACTCTGAAAAAAGAGATCGAAGAGGATATCAGAAAATGGAAAGACATCCTCTGTTCTTGGATAGAAAGAACCAATATAGTGAAAATGGCCATACTTCTAAAATTGTTATACAGATTTAATGCAATCCCAATAAAAATTCCAACACCATATCTCACAGAATTAGAAAAAACAATCCTAAAATTCATTTGCAACCAGAAGAGAACTAGAATAGCAAAGGCAATTCTGGGCAGCAAAGACAAGGCAGGGGGTATCACAATCCCTGACCTGAAATTATACTACTAAGCTACTGTGATAAAAAACAGCATGGTTCTGGCAAAAGAATAGACCTGAGGATCAGTGAAAGAATAGAAGATACAGAAACAACTCCAGACATACTCAGCCCACCTTGTCTTTGACAAAGGAGCCAAACATCTTCAGTGGAACAAAGATAATCTCTTTAATAAATGGTGCTGGAAAAACTGGCTTTCCTCATGCTTAAAATTGAAACTAGACCCATATCTTTCAACACGTACTAACCTAAAATCTAAATGGATCAAAGATCTAAATATTAAAACAGAAACACTAAATCTGCTGGAAGAGATAATAGGTAGAATGCTTGAGGACATAGGAGTAGGCAAAGACTTCATGAAAAAACTCAGACTGCAAGGGATATACTACAAAGAATCAACAACTGGGATCTCATCTTATTAAAAAGCTTTTGTACAGCAAGAGAAACCACCAACAGAGTGAAGAGATAACTCACAGAGCGGGAAAAAATTTTGCCAGCTATTCATCAAAGGATTACGACCTAGAACATATAAAGAACTCAAAAAAATCAAACCCCCCAAATTTAAAGGCCCAATCCAAAAATGGGCATCTGAAATAAAGACACTTCTCAGATATAATAGAAATGGCAAATAAATATATGAAAAAGTGT